CAGCTCCTTTCAGCCGCTACGAAGCCCAGAACTTCACTCTTGTTTGCATAGTTAAAGGAGCCAAACCTGCTCCCATGGTGAGATGGAAAAACTCTTGGTCCTAAATCCTTTTTTTTCTTCCTCTTTCAATGTGTGAAATATAACTTTCTCTGCTTCCCCTTCTACATGGAGGTCAAACCTTCAATTTCACCTGTTCAACTTTCTGTTCCATCAGGTGTACTTTAAGAGGGATGGTGAACTCATTGATGTGCAGCCGTCCTCTCAGTATTTGTCCCCGGTTGAGGACCAAAGCAAAGCCCCAGTTAAAGACAAGAGCCGAGGCAGACGCCAGACCAGACACTGGACTTCCCAGGTTCTCACCACTCGGGACCTCGATGACACCAAACTCCAAAAGACCGTGTCTCTGTTAGAAGAAGTGAAGCAGTCTCACCTGGGTCAGGATGAACCTGGTGTTGTAGAACGGGCTGAGGAGCAGAGTTCAGAGCCCGGCCCAGAGCCCACCACTGAGACGATCCCTGAGACGGTGGTGAGCCGGGAGTTTCCACGCTGGGTCCAGAGCAGCGACCCTCTCTACTACTTCCAGCTGCAGCAGCAGCCTTCTGGTGACGGGACCATCGAGGTGAGAGCCATGCTGACCTGGAGTCTCAACCCTCAGCTGGACAACGAGGCGCTGTTCAGCTGTGAGGTCAGCCATCCAGCTCTGTCCATGCCAATGCAGGCTGAGGTCACTCTGGGTGAGTCAGGGACCAGAGGGTGAGGGAATATTTGGGAGAAATCATCTCATGCTGGAGAAACATATGTATATGATAATGAATCCAACATCCATTATTAAGGTTTGACTTTTTCTTATAAGCCATTTCATTTTTGAAATACTAATTAAAAATTATCTTTTTGTGAGATACCATTAGACTCGATAGTTGCACTAAGAAAAACAAAAGCGTGGTTTCACAGAAAAATATGAGGGCATGTCATTGTTACTTTAATTCATAGTGAAAAGAGAACAGCAAACAGACTTAGTCATAGAGAGCCTCTGGCTGATTAATAACATAAGTGATGCAAATAGAATAAATCATTTCTAAGCAGGTGAAGAATGGTATAGTGTATTAACTGAGATAACTCTAGGCCTTCATCACTGACCACTCTGTAAATGTGAATATATAAATGCAGCAGCATTTATATCTGCTTCTTATTTCAGCCGCTCCACGAGGACCCAAACTCTCCATGAGCCCCAGCAAGGCAAAGGTGGGAGACACAGTACAGATCATAGTCCAGGACTTTCAACTGGGACCTTCTGCTGTGAGTTCTTACACAATGGAAGTATATAAACTGTACTGTATATAGGCAGAGAAAAATACTAGATAAAAAAAAAATAGATAAAATAGCTGTAGAACATGTTCCCCTTCTTTTGTAATTGTGGTTTCTTTGGTCACATTTAGCTACATATTTCAAGAGTAATTGTTGTATTTTTATATTTTATTTCTCAAAAAAGTATTTTTTAAGACTTTTTGAGAATATTATTAGTATAATATGTTACATTTAATTAAAGGTTGAAGTACCAAAAATATTGTTTGTCTGAATTACCAATGATATGCTAAAGAAAAAGAAAAAAATGGGCGGGGGGTTTACCAACAATGAAGAATGCATCAGCTCCGGCTCGTGGGATAGGACAATGCTGTAAGGAATGACAACTAAAATTCAGTGTTGCCCGGTCTGGGAATTGAACCCAGGGCAACAATTTCACAGTCCTTAGCCAACCAGCTACATGATTGAGGTTTGATGGAACTCAAACTTCAATCATTTTGTCAAAGGTCAAAGTTGCAAAGTATAACAACAACTCTAATGTTGTCTGAGGCCAGGATTTGAATCAGTAACCCAGTTCTCCCCTGGGTTATTCTGCAACAAAGCGCAAGGAACTTTTACTGCTGTGTGAAACCAGTCCAAGGTCTTCAGAAGCAAATTAGTTCGACTACAAAATTAACAACTTGCACCACTTTACTTTTACTTGTTTTTAGACCAGTCATTTTACTAGTACACAAGTAAAATTATGATCACATATATATTCTGTTTTACTACAAATTAAAGAGAGTATCTTTTAAACACAAATTGTACACAGTAACTATTTTCTCTGGTAATAAATAATTTGATAACGCTACAGTCCAGTAACTACTCTGTGTATTACCTGACTTTGCCACGTTCTACCATGTGTGTCCACAGAGTGAGGTGTTCCCTGAGCCCATGTTCACCTGGACCATGGTGGGTGGACGGCTGCTGGACGGTAGAGAGGAGCATCACGGCAGGAGGCTGGTCCTGGAGAGGGTTCCTGCAGAGCTCAACGGCTCCATGTTCCGCTGCATGTCCCAGAATCCTCTTGGATCTACAGACACTCACACACGCCTCATTCTGTTTGGTGAGCGACAATTCTTTTGGATTTTCCTAGTCTTCATCTGTTCAGTGCACCTGTAATGAATACTTGTGTGTGTTTTCACAGAGAACCCAAGACTAAAGAAACAACTTGTCGGTAGGTTTTTTCTTTTTTTTTTAATTTATTTCCTCACTGTGTGTTACGGGGCGTGTCATTTGTGATCAAAATGTGTTTGTTTGCTTTTTTGCAGCTACAGATGTGGCGATCAGTCGGTGTTCCCTCCCACCAACCTTCCTGCTACTGACGCTGCTGAACATCATCTGTGAGCTGTCATGATCCATGACTCTGCTGCTGATACTGAGCTTTACAGCTTTGAGGAAATTTTCCCTTCGGCTCCGTCATTAGTGGAAACACAGTGGAAACCTCCATATGGCTTCTAGAACTTTCAAGAATTTCTATCAAAGACTATCAAAGGTACAGTAGGAGCTTTACAATTTCTTTAGCTCTTCTTATGTCACACCATAGCTCACAACTACTGTTATACATTATTTTCTCTTCTTCCTCCATGTTTAAATCCCCCTCAAAAAAATTATTTTATAACCATGTTTATACTCTTTGTTTAATCAGTGTGTAATCTGAAATCGAATTATCATATGATGTGTTGTAGGGAAGAGATTTACTGCTGTTACATAAATTAAAAATAATCCAGAGGCAGAATTACAATTACAAAGGTAAAATTCAGTTTATGCTGTACAACATGCATCTTAATTCGACTGATATTATTCTTTTAAAATTAATTTTAACTGCAGTACCAATATTTTCTTACTGGAGTAATTTTTATCTGTGATGTGTATTTGTGTAAAACACTCAGCTTTTGTTACAAGTATTATGATGGTCAATAAAAATTAATACATGATTAGTGTTTTTTCAGATGTTCTCAAGGTCACTGCCTTACAGAAGTAGTTACTGATCGTCTCTCTGGATGTAGTTTGTATGTTCTTACTCTGGTTTTATCAGTATAAAACATACCTACTTAGGTTAATCTCAGGTCTTTTTGGCCCTGTTAAAGACTGGTGGACTAACTAGGGATTACACCGCCCTTGCCTGATGACTGCGACCCAGGAAAAGATTAAGCAGCAGCAGCAGCAGCAGCAGCAGCAGCAGATGAATGAATGTTCACACAGTGTGTGCTGCAGTCGTGTTGGTTTTATTTAAAGCATTATTTTGTCCGTGTGACTGTTATTATTACAGAATGGCCGATTCAAAGACCTGTCCTCTAATTGACTCCTGCTGCCTTCAAGTACACAATTTTTTTTTAGGTAATCTAGAAAAAACAAATCCCATGATTCTGATACTTAACCAAAAGCATTACTAAGGCTGACCAAAGACACAGAAAGCTGATTAAAAAAGGCTGCTAGACTAAAACGTGGAGACACTTGGACTACGATGGTGTGAAGGCAGAGACGGAGACAACTATTGGACAACTCCAGAGTACGGTATTTGAGGCAGTGAGCTGCAGGTTCCACCCCTCTGTGTGTGTATGTGTCAGTGCATTTCACCCCCACCCCCCCACCCCATTATCCTATACACAAAATAGAGTTATAAAGGCAGTCAGTTACATTTCACATTATAGCTTCTGTTCTTATACTACATACTTCATTATTATTACAGTATGTACACTGATATATAGTGTTTTTCTGTGTGATTCTATGTACATTATTCTATTTATTCACAAACCTGTGTGACGACCTGCTGCAGTCAGCAGAGGAACTTTATGTTGCTCGTTCCTTCCTTTTTTCTTCCTTTATACACACACGCAGTCAAACCAACACTACCTGTCAGTCAGAAGTGTTCCTCCATGTACAAGTCTGTACAGGTATGTAGCAGTTCATAACAACATGAAGGTGCACGCTATTGTCCACTTTTAAAAATTCTGATCCTACAAAATAAATAAAAGCAGAAAAGTCAGTAATCCTCCAGACCTTCACATAATCAGGGAGTCCAGGAGTAGAGAGTCCTCGTTCTCAGAGACAGGCAGCATCAGCTGCTGCTCGTAGTACAGACTCTTGGCATAGTTGATTTCTTGAGAGATTTTGATGGCGAGATTCTCACTCTTCACGTGGACCTGTGGGAGAAATTGTCATGTGATCAAAAACGATTACACTAATATAGAGTGCAGATAAAGTTCATGGAACTATTTAACAACAGACCAGACCTCCACTCCACTGCAATACGGGGGGGGGGGGTTGTAGTTTTGTCGTCATCTCCCATAACTACTAAGAAGGTCTCGTTCTATAATTCCGACGTACAGTGTTGAAACTCGCTAAATAGTGAGTGGAGCAGACAGATACTTGCCATGCAGTGCTATTTGCGAAAGACAGCTTTGTTTACATTCGCTGGTTGTACGCCACACACTGGATTGTGCTGCATTCTCATTCTTTTTGCCTTTCATTATGGCTATCACAATGGGTGCTTACGTGTGTGCTGACACTGAGGAAGAGGCGATCTCATAAAAACCAAAAAAACAGATCTTTTGATCAGTTCCAGATCAGTTTGAGATATGGCTCTGCTACTCTTTAGGAATATTAACTCTGGAATACTCCAATATCTCAACAGTCGGTAAATACTGAATAGTCATGGCTGTTGAGGACAAATACAAGTACTGTAAATGACTTACCATGGGTTTCTGGTGCGAGGGACCAGGAATTGCCACTCCACTGCTGGTGCTCTCAGCCTTCTTCGTGAGCTGCACATACACTTTCCCATGATCCTTAGAGACCAGACAGTGGTACAAGTCATCGTATTTGACCTCCAGGAAAATGGCATCTCGATCCACATAGTCGCCTGGTTTCAGGAAGTAGACCACTTTGGAGGAGATGAGGACACAGTAGGTGTCGATGGGCTCCACAGCGATGAAGCTGGAGTGGGAGAGAGACAATTAGGCCTCACTGTGATGTAAAGGGAGATGAGCTGTGAATGAAGAAACACTGGGACTCACAACTCAGAGTGGATGTTGTCAGTCAGACGGAAAAGCTGCTCCTGACCATCAGCTTGTGTTGTAGAATATCTTGGCAGCAGACCTTGAGGTCCTTTACAGCAGCGAGGCTTTCTGACCCGCTGCACACCAAGCCTGACCAACAACAGAAACAATAACGCATAGTGTCTGTAGGATGAATTTATCACTATTTTGGTGGAGTTTCAACAAAAAAGTGTAGGACTGAAATTGGCACAAGGGTTTAGATAATATTATTTCATATTGTAATAAAAAGTGTTTGTTCAAAACATAAGCACATCATTTTCACAAAGAATGAAATGTTTGGAGTTTGGACCTGACCTGTGGTTACTGAGACTGGCCATGTCCCTCACAGTCTGCGCCGTCTCTGATGCAAAGTCCAGAGCTCCTGCCACTGGTTTGGTCACAGTTCCCACCAGACCTTTTCCCAGACCTGAGAAAAAGCCACTGACTCCCCCCTCTGTCTTCACCCCCTCCACTGTGGAGGTGATGATGCTGGTCATGCCACCAATGATACCTGGAAGAGTTCAAAATGTCAAATTTTATGAGCAGAAATCAAATGTGACAGAGGTAATAAGCTTCTTATATACAGAGTGAAGGCCTGTGAGATTACAGAGATAAACACAGTGTGAACGTAGAGAGCTTTAGAACATCTGATGAATCGGAGCGACACGTACACAGCACAGCACTCATTTATTGTATGTGAAATCCAGCAGGATAAACTCAATCCTGCTGTGGATTATTTCATACATCTTTACTCTGTGGGAACTCAATGTGCAATGTGACACATTTTTATTGAACTTTAATCTCTACTGACTTAATATGACTGATCTGCTTACACATGCCCTTATTATAAAACCTGTCCTGTCCTGTGACATGGGAATGATTTCATACATGAACGTCTTGTGGTTACAAAACCTCAAATTGAGGTTGTGAAATGGCTCCATCTAGAGGCAAGGATGCAGGTGTCTTCAAACTTTATCAACGGGTCAAACTAGGACCATTCATTTTTATGTGATGCAAATGAACATAATGCATTTAAATAAATTATTGAAAAAATAGTCTTATTTAGTGTTTTTGTGGTTCTTAAATGGAAGCCACTTCAAACTAGATAGATCATGGACAGCACAAAATACCAAAAGGTAAGTTATTCAGAACCTAAATAAACAGACAGACATGGCAATGACATGATTTTAACAAAATGTCTTGAAAATTATTGAGGAGTATCTTAAAATAATACTTATTATGCTTAAGGTAAAACTATGCAGGTCACTGACCAAAGTTGAGTTGATTGGTGATATGACCAACCACAGACTAATACAGTAATACAAATGTACAATATTTATTACTTTACCATGAGCCAGTCCATGAATCCCTGCCACCAGATGTTCTCCACTGGTGGCTCCATGATATCTGATGTACTCTCGCTCATTCTGGTGTCGGTTGTCCATGGTCTTTCCTAAACTATCTGATAAAGTCCCGGCAAACTGAGACATACAAACAGAGAGTATGTTACAGACACCGCACAGTTAAACACAGCTCTACACTTATGAGTTGATCTCGTACCTTGGCAGCTGAGTTGGACACTCCATGGGTCACGTTGCGTATCAGACCGCCAACGTTTCCGTACTTGATGAGCTCTGACACTCCCTCAGTGACATCATTGAGAAGGCCCATGGGGTTCCCAAGGAAGTCCACAGAACCCAAAATCTGAGCAGCCTGACTGATCAACTCCTTCGCACAGGAAGCAACACACAGAGGTTTGAACTTCAAGGTCATCACGAGTGATTTAAGACCCATTCTGTTGCAATAATCTCAGTCTAACCTCTCTGAAGTGCTTGAGGATGTCATTGATGATGATCTCCTGGGTCTCATAGGGGTGCACTCTAGTGAACGGGTACATGTTGATGACCGCATCTTCAAAACGGACCAGAGGAATTCCCAGAGTTCCTTTCAAAGCCTAAAGAGAACCAGAATAAATGGTAACCTGTCTGATAGAGCTCAGCAGCAAACATCGATTTTGCATTTGTATTGTACAAAACATGGTCAGAGATAAGAAACGCTTTTAGACCAAAAAATATATTGATGGCTGACCTTTAGATCCGGAGGCAGCTTGTGAGACGTGAAGACACTTAGTTTGATCTGGGGGAGACTGATCTTAAGGTTCTCAAAGTAGTAACGCTTCAGAGTTCCTGCATCTTCACTGGGCTTCTCATGGAGGTCATCAAACCTCTCCAGCTCTGAGATCACAACAGGTGTTAGGTTTACGAAACCAGTCTTCTTGATAAAAGTTACAGGAGGCTGGAGACTCACCAGCTTCTATCTGTCCGTATCCAAAGAAACTGAGGAGTTTGAGCAGCAGTGTCTCCTCAATGATGACAGTGAAACGCCTGGCTGTTACCATCAGGTGCTGACAACATATTAGGGTTATATCAGTATCAGACACACAAGTTTAATATTGCATAAACACATAACATTACAATCCAGACACTTGTTCCTGTAAGTGCAAACACAGAGCATGTTAGCTCTGTGAGTGGAATGGGATCGAGATCCTGGAGCAAGTTTTTCATAAAAAAGTGAGCGTGTGCATCTGTCACACTCAAGCTATGTTCTCTGACTTTAATCCCAGTTTTAGGGGTGGGGAGGGAGTGAAGAAGGGCAGAGGTGTAAATGGAATTGAATTGAAACTGTTCATGACATCAGGGCTTGACTCTCACTCACTTTGAAAAGATCAGTGAGCATCAGTTTGCTGGGAACTTTGACGGAATTGATCTGCAGGGCTGGGCCACTCTCACAGGTGGTACCCTCACTAGAACCTGGAGTGACACACAACATGACAGGCTGTGTGGTTCCTAGCAGCTGGTTGTCCACCTGAAAACCACAGAATCATTAAGAAGATTGTTGAGAGCAGATTTGTAACACATTCATTTTACAACATAAGCTTTAACAATGTCTGATTTGAGGATTTAGCTACAGTTAGGATCACTGGATGAAGATGAAGCAGTGGCACCATGTTGTCTCTTGCCTGGAGTCAACTCACCTGAATGTTCTGAATGCTCAGCTCCAGCACCTCACTGAGAGCTGTGCGCGTGAAGTGAACATCTATACCAGTCAGTGTAGCAAACACCAGGTCCTCTGGAACTTTACTGACCAAAGACACACCCAGACCTTCATCCAAATTTACCAACACCTACAAACAAAACAACTGTTTAATTTTGCACAACTAGATATTACAAAAATAAATCTGCAGAAATTTTATGGAAACCAAGTTGCTAAATGTCATGCTTTTGTTTTAAATGATGTAAATCAAAGCCATTACCTCCAGTTCTTGCTCAGTTTCTTTCTTCTTAGGATTTTCTTTGCTTTGGTCCTGTTCTGCACTTGGTGAGTTCCGGTTCATTCTCCTCTGGTTGAAGTCACTGATCTAATATTGGAGGAAAGTAGAAGAAGTCATGTTGAGCCTCACTGTTAATAGCTTCTTTTGACTGACAACATGATCTCATCAGCAAAGAAAACTATCAGAACATTAAGGTAATCCAGTTGTACATTGTATGACATAAAAGCTCTGCTCAAAGTATAGTTTTGGATGTGTTCTCACCTGCAGGACACGAGTGGGTCCATCGGGCAGAACCTGAACGGACAGAACTCCAGAACCAGGTCTCATCTTCTGGTTGATGAACTGTTGTTCAGGGTCTGGGTTTAGGGGCCCAGAGTCTGGTCCGAGCACCACCTCTGCTCCATCGTACAGGCCTGACACGCCATCCTTTACCTGAGGGTACAAGACAATCTCTGTAAACCTAACTGAATCAGACATAATAAAACAAAATGATGGCCAAGAAATATTATCTTAATGCTGTATACGTGGTGTTACAGTGGAAATGTATGGCTACATTTTCTTCAAACACTTTAATAGTGACATAGTGAATAACAAACTGTAGATTCATTTGGACTTATAAATACAGGTTAGCAAGGTACCTGAACGACCAGCCTTGGAAGACCACATGTCAGCATTCCTGAGCTGAAATACCAGGTCTGGGTGGTGCTGCGGCGGGAATCTGGTCTCCTTAACATTAAAGGCTCATAACTGATAAATGAAAAAAGACAAAAAAAATGTACATTTAATTTTACGTCCCTGAAAACAAAAGCTCTAAAATCAGTTGCACTGCACTTTAAGCAGTTTTTTCCCAACATTAATTCGTACGTGTCATCCTCACACGAACACCAAGATTTACAAACCTGTTGTCAGTGACAGCTGCGAGTCCAGCGATGTCCAGCACCAAAGATGAATCCAGTGGACGTGGTTGAGCCGGTTTACTCTGAGGTGGAGACGATCCTTCGTGACACAACATTCCAGACCCAGTCATCCGCCACAGCTGGGAGCGTTTCCCAGGCTCCTGCAGGAATAAAAATGCAGTGTGATTAAAGTACCTCTTTGATTGTGTTGGTTGTTTTCATTAACTGATTTTATGATTATTTCTGTACAAGTTTAGTTTTATTTCTTCAGAGGCTGTAGGGTGACCTTTAGGATAATCCACATTACACCTTAAACTCTACCTTCTTTTTTAGGATAACCCTTTGAGTCTTCGTGTCTACATCCAAGACAAGCTCAGCACAGCTCACCAGACGCTTGTTCCCACCATGCCTTTTCTCAGCATT